GAATATCTCTTTGGTTTTGAGACTTTAGTCTTTGCAACTTCAGGGATCTTATCTATGCACAATCAGCTTGTAACACTCCAAAGAGAAAGGAAAACTTGAAATCGTATCATATGACCCCTTTAAGTCTTATAAGACATGACTATATGAATGTACATTAATATGATGTTTATTTATATTATTATTTCTTTTTTTTTCTGGGTGGCAACCATACAAAATTTATAAATTGATGTTTTCCCCCCTTATAAATTTATCTTATTGCCTTTTTAGGAATATATTAATCCAGGGTATCTCTATTCCCCCAGTATTCATAAGAGTGGTCGACCAATATGGGTTCAATAGTTAATTCTTCAATTATTACATTTGTTCCCTACTGATCCTGAATATGTGCATTCAGCCTAGGATTATTCCTCAATATGAATTTCCTGCAGAGCAGCTTTACTGGGACCATCTTAATCTGTGAAGGGATTTATCTGCTTATGTCTCATTATCTAACCACGTCCAGACAACCGGAACTGTTGCTTACCTTGTAATTGAGTTTTTGTCCTCTCGTCTTTCTTCTTCACTTCAATGAATCATTGCTTTCTGATGCCTTCGGTGGCTTTTTTTTATTAGTTTGTCTTCAAAAGGTCAGGCGGTGTATCTGTTAAACATGACTTGTCCCAACTGTTGACTGTCACACTCAGCTGATAACAGCCTGCCCGTTTCCATGGTGATATTTCATTGTCTGACTGTCTAGACACCCGGTGACACCTGCCACGTTGGGCCCGGGGGTCACGGTTGGCTGTGCGAGTCAAAAATCGAAGGCTCAGCTGCCCTCTGCATCTGCTGTAGGTCCACAGAGACATTAGCAAATACATCACAAAATGCAGGGGCCTGTTTAAATCACTACTTCTTTTAATAATGTGAGGCCATTTGTCATCATTTTACTGAATGACATGGTTGTTCTTTTTTATTTGAATAGAAATTACTATAAGCTTGAATAACTTGTTTAAATGAGGTTCACTCAAAAATGAAAACTCTGCCATTGTTTACACACCGTTGTGTTGTTCTACACCTGTATCAGTGTTATATTAGTATTATTTATATACTATTATAGTATTTATTGGTATTTTTCAATTAGCTTTTATTTTTGTTTTCAATTTTAGTTTTAATAATTTTATGTGCTTTTGTAACTTATTATTATTGTTTTTAAATATTTCTAAATAACTTGTAATTATTTTTCTGTTTAGTTTTAGTCATTTTAGTACTTCAACCAAGGCAACATTTCTCATTTTTAAGTTTACATTTTTCATCTATTATTTATATTTTAGATTATTTCAGCCTTGTTTCAGGTTTATTATACCGAAAATTATTTTAATTGAATTATTCTTAGTTAACTGTAACTAAAGATTTAGTTTTAGTTAACTATAACACAACTGACATGTATGTTGTCATTTTTTATGGAACATGAAAGGAAAATTTCAGAACAGTTTGTAGTGTTTATGTCTGTCACACAAAGTTTTCTGAAGTCATGTAATAGAAAATCCATATTTCACTTTATTTACTATTTTCTTTTGTTCATCACAGAGATATCATAAGACTTTGAGTTATTTTATGGTGTTTGGTGGTGTTTTCTGTACTTTTTTTTTTGAGCTGGTCATTATGAACTGCATAAAAATCATTTAAAAATTTTATTTTTTTCTACAGAAAATAATAACAGCATATGGGTTTGGAACAACATGACAAACGAGTAAATGCCAAAATTATAGAGTGCTGCAGGGATGAAGTTAATTTTTGGGCCAAACTGGAAGTTCGCTTGAATTTCGAGGATCCCTCGAATTGGATTTTTCCACTGGCTTTTGGATTATTACAGAAAATAAGCTCTGTGACAAAGAAAATAAATGATACTTAAACATTTTGTTCATCAAGGTATAATCATCACAAATTTTATCAATTTTATAGCCTAAATGTAATGGCCAAAAGCTAGGCTATAAACAAACTTCAACAAGTTCACACGATACTTGCTAAGCTCGACAAATCTTTTAATCTTTATCTAAGTTGGAAAGTTTGAGTTAGAATACTTTGCAAAAGCGTGAGTGTGAACACAACAAGGCTTTAAAAGTCTACTAGTAAGTAGAATAGTTTTCCTGTTTGGCGGGATGATGTTTAATTTTTGTGACAGCCTAGTCCCATTTAGCCACTTGTTAGTGGGGTATTATTGATTTATTTTATGTCATAGAATAAAGTATGACAATATCTTGAGCTTGCGTCAACCAAAGACCTTATTTCAGGCATTTAATGAAAAATTCATTAAAAAAACTCACAGAATTTGAGACAATGGAACCAAAAGTTCACAAATGCTAACTCGATTTGGGGTTTTAGGACTCATTCCTGTGGCACACTATTTATTAATAATTAAACAATTGATCTAGTTTTTCACTTTAATTTTTTATTTAATCAACTCTCAGCCTTTCTCAGCATGCTGTCTTTTGAGAAGTTCCATAGGTGCAACACAACCCCCAATTGTCTTATTCTGCTCTGTTGCTGTAAATCCGGTGTTTTGTCATTAAAAATTCTGTTTAGGTAGAATTCTTAAGATTTACTGAATGATCTGACTCTGAATCAGCAGTTAAAAAAAGAACTGAACAAATATAGCCGCTCTATTGTCTTTTTTGCTGCGTTGAGTCCCTTGTGATTGGCCATTTGGCACAGCACACTGTGTTTGATTTACTCTACATGTTCTTTTACAGTATTATTTTATTTCAGACTGTCCGGGATGATCTTGTCCAACGAAATTCAGGACCAGGAGTGGATATAGCGTAACTGGTTCCTAAAATATTCCCGGTCCCTTGAGGCAGCCAGAGGCTGTTCTCTGAGAACCCGGCAAGAGAGGACATTCTGTTCAAAGCTATTCAATGG